ATGATTCAAATTCACTTTGACACCAGATATTTCATACACCTGTGTGTATTTGCCATGTACATTTTAAATGATTTATTTCATTTTTTGCTATTGAAGAAATACACAGCACAACATACACCAATTCAGTAATGTCTACATGTACAATGTAGTAACATTGGCTCCATTTTTCAAGTTGTACAAGTATCCCCCCCCTTTTCCCATAGTTAGAACTCTCACATTAGCACACTTTCTTTGCCCCTAAATTTACTTTGCTTCAATCAGATCTTATACAAATAATTCTTTAAAAGTATAAAATGCTCAAAGCAGACACTCTTGACTCAGTAAGCCAAACTATTGTTTGGTTTAAAAATAGATGTCAGGGGATATCTTTGGTTTCAATGTTAAAAAACGACCTCAGGGCAATCGTTTGGGGAGGCCATCTGATTTAAGTGGCCCCAGAATCTCTGGATTCTATGAGCATTTGGAAATTTCTTCCTCAAACTTACATTTGAGATTGGTTCTAATGAACGTATCTCCCTGAACTCCGCGTTCTAGGCCAGTCACTAGTTCCTGTTGGGTCAATCCTGACTCCAAGACACCTCGCTGCATCAGGTAGAACTGCGCCCTGCGGGGCTTGCAGTGACTGACTTTGGTAAGCAGGGACCAAGCCTTTCTTGCAAGGTTCAGAAGAAACGTTGAGTGGACTCAATTTTTGATTAGCTACCAAATTTGGTAACCGTTTGCTCTAGTCCAGAATTTCCATTTTTTAAAACTAAGATTCATAAGAGAACCTTTCAGCTTACTGCATGATTATCCACTGTGTGATGTATTGTGCTTTGTTTCTAGGTTGTTCTCAGATTTTAGCAATTTTAAGATACACAACTGTATGCACAAAATTGCCTTGTGCATAATTTCTACCATAGTTTAACATTTTAGAAGTAAAATTGCTGACTTATGTGCTATTAATGCTGTGAAAATATATAAACAAAAAAACCTTATCACAATATAAAGTGAAATGTGACAAGGCAGGGAGGTAAGGGACTGGGGAGCTGATAACACTGGGTACAAGAAAGAAGAAACTGTCCTAAAACTGGTTTGGAGATTAGTGTATAATTTTTATGATTGAATTATTGAATTGTATGGTATGTGAATTATATGCCAATAAAACTGCTACAAGATCCCCTTACAGAAGGGTCACAGGGAGGAGACGAGTCAGTCA